CCACACTGACTGAATCAATCATTTCTTTTTGAACCTTGCCTTATACACAGAGGCATTGTTATGTTATAACAGAAAAGGGTCATGTCCAAACTATTGCTATAAAATTAGAAGCACACATTTACCTAGAATATCATTATATGCTTTAACATTACATTTGTACTCATGGAAATTACTAAAGTAATCAAACCTGTTCATTAGAAGGGGGTGTTTCCAACACTTTTGACAATATAGTAGCCTATATATAGAGAGAGTGAGCCTAGAGAGAGAGGGAGAGAGATTAAAGTTGCTTATTGTGCATTAATACAACAATAGCATTATTTGTTCTTTCTTCCTGATAAATGCAGCCTCTTTCCATCATAATGTCCTAACAGGATCCTGCCTCACTCCTCCTCTCCTCTCAGCTCGTCTCTCTCTCGGTGTTTTCTCCCACACACACTCCTACTGTCACTCCACGGCTGTCATATGTTCAGATTTCCCCACCTCCTCATGCAGGCCTCCACCGCCGAAAATAAGAGCTCGCACAACAACCGCTCGTCTCCATAGAAACCATGCAGTGGCCGCTTTTAAAATCTCTCTAATGAAAAAATCAGGACAGAAACACAGATCAGAGGTCATAATACCAGTGTTCACAGACGCTCAAGGAGAGTTATGAACACCCAGAGCATGAACATGTTACCCAAAGGAGACAGAAAGAGATGCGGGAGAACATTTGGGTTTGGACACTAAATAATTTGACAAGAGGAGGAAGATAGATACATTCCCTCTAAGAATAGCAGAAAATCTGTGACGCTGAAGAAAACGAAAAAGATTAAAAGTCTGTTATCCCACAGACAGAAGAAAAAAACAAAGATAATTCAGTCGAGACAACTCATCAATGTCGTGAACAAGAGCGCGTTCTGATATCCATCATGTCTGAACTAATTTGGACTGAATTTCACTTGACATCAATCTGAAGTGAATATAATCACAGTGATAGGCTCACATCTTTCTCCTCCTCCTCCTCCTCCTTCGTTATCCACCGGTCACCCACATGAGCGCGAGACCGCGAGGATGAGGAGGAGAGCGCGCGCGCGCTCGGAGATTACCGCGTGAGTGAAGTCAAAACGGAGAGACCGGAGGGATTAACCTGCAAAAACTACAAGAAAACATGAATTACAAAAACACGCGGCCGGTAAAGTCGTGACAATGATGGGTGTGTTCGGAGAATAGGAAAAAAAGAGGGAGAGAAAGAAAACAGGACGAGCGAACGGAGTGCGTTTACCGCCAAAACACCAAGTGACCGCGAGGAGAAAACTAATTTACGGGGGGAAAAAAACGTTTACAGATGAGATATTTGCTTTTATAAGGTGAGCAATTCTTCATATCTTCATGTGTGTAGTAAGCTTGTCTGATTATACAAATGTCTGAATCGCTGTTAAAGTTTTCCTAGTTTATTTCCATACAACATTTATGAGGAATTATTATACTGGCATTTGGATGACGATGTCGCTGCATATAGTGTAAAATAGGACCTATACTATATGGTCAAATAATCTGCGTAATTTACGACTAGGCTACATGCTGATATGGCAATTATTAGTATTATTATTATTAGTCCTATTATTATAATTAGGAGTCGTAGAAACACAAATTAATGTTATAAATTAGGCTATAGCCCACTTGATGTCCGTTCTTAATTTCTTAAATTAACTAGGATATAATTTATAACTTTCATTAGTGATATAATGTGACAATATGCACATTCAAAGGACTGGCGTACATATCAAATCGACTGCGGATGGGCAGATGAGGTGCGGATAAATGCGGCTGAAACAGAGAAAATAAACTTTGATGTTGTAATGAAAAGAGATTATTCTCTGTTTGAGATCACGCACTGATCGCGCGCCGCATCTGGAGTTTTACTGGATTTACCGCGCGCGCGGAAACGTACCTGCGCGTCATATTTTATGTCACAGTCTCAATCCCGCGGATTTGAGGCGAACATCTGCTGCATGATGAAACCCCTGCGGTCAATTCGAAGTAATTATAAGTTTTCTGATGAGTTTTATACTCCGTTTACTACAGAACACTCTAGTAATAACCGAAAAAGCTGTTTAAACTGCTAGCGCGGGAAACTGGAGTTCTATGGCGCGGTTCGTTTGCAGCGCGGGCGCGTGTCTCGGCCAGTTTCCAGTGGAAAGCGCTTAATGTGCGGGAGAATCTGCCGCGTGACTTCATTTGATTCCCCTGATCAATAAGAGCTTAATGCACTTAATGCACTGACAAAAACAAAGTGTTTCCACACTTACAGAAACGTACCACGGTTTAACTATAGTTGTAGTTTGGACACACTTAATACCGTACCATTTACATAGGCGACAGTGCCAGGAAAATACTGCGTTATATAAATATGGTAATTATGCAGTACCATGGTAGGCTACATGTCAAAGTATGACAGTATTTTTGTGATATAATCAATTAACAAGCACAGCACTTTTCTGCAAATTAAGAAAGAGTACAAATTTGGTTCAAACTGTCAAAATTGGGTGCACAAAGTCTATAGACTTACCCAAAGCACACAATGACAATGTACCAAACTACAATGGCCAGAAAAAGTATCTGAATATCGAAATCACACTTATGTCATTAGTAGCTTACCGTTTATTTTAAAGAAACATGTACAAACTAAATATATAGTAAGAAGGTTGGTTTGAAATGCTATAACAATAGATGTTTAAGTTAACAAATGTATTGTCTAAATTTGTCATTAGTGGATTATGTTAATGTGATTTAATGTGTGGAACTACAAACAATGGATTGTGGCACCAACAAGGTCATGGGTTCAGTTCCAGATGAACTGATTAAATGCATACCTTGAAAGCAATGTAAGTCACTTTGGACAAAAGTGTCTGCCAAGTGCAGAAATGTAAACATCAACAAAACACCAGCTGTTACTGAAGACAAAGATCCTGCAGTCTTTGAGATACAGACACTTGATCTAATGAATGACGTCAGATATGAGGAAACGTGTATGAGAAATTGAAACTATTCACAAAAATTGTGATTTCTGTTCTTCTGACATATTTTTAGTGAAGCACCTTAAGAGCTTCATCATTTATCTAAAGAATAATAAATATATCAGATTAAATCTGCTTGAGTCTGAACTCACCTTCTGTCATTGTGTGTGTATGTGTGCGTGCTGTTGTCATATTAATCCCACACACACATACACACATGGACAGACGGACGGACGTCTCAGATTACAGCACAGGATCCTCAGGGCTCATTTCTCTGGATCTGCTTCATATCACTGTTAAAAATGAGAGATGAAGAGATTATTCAGATATCACTGGATTAGGAATTAAGAAAGAAATGTCTTCCACACACACACACAATCAGGGATTAAGTGTGTGTGTTCATGTTGTGTAACAAAGGTTAAGTCCATTTTGATTGTAAAGAGCAGTTATTGAGTCACATGCGTCTGTACTGTTGACGTCTGCATCTTCAACAATCCCACTCTCTCCTCAAACTATTTAATATGTCATTTAAATTGACTGTTCATCACAAGACATACTAATCTTTTCAAACAGTAGCTTAGAGGAGGTGTGTGTGTGTGTGTGATTGATGTCTGTAATGAGACCATGATCATGAAACACAGAAAACTGCCCTTCAGACATAATCAGATCACTTCACTGTCATTTACAGTGTCATGAAATGACAGTAAACACAATATAAAATACACAATAAACACACAACCTACAAAATGTACAAGTACACTCTAAAAATGGGAAGAGCCTAACATCTTTTTGAGCTATGATAGCTTTAACGAAATTATGTTTAACCAACAAACTACACTTTATTTTTAGCATAAACACATTTTTAAGTTGATTATTCAAAATAAAGTTGCTACCAATTGTTTCAACCTAATTCACTCATAAATTAACTGTTGGCCTTGGAACCAATTAATCGGGTATATTTCAGTTCAAATCAACGCCTAATATATAGCACATGGCAAATTTTAGCATGTAAATTTGACTAGTAAGTAAGATATTACTTGTCACATTAGCTCTACCCTTCAACACAATGGTAAAAAATGTAACCCAACCTTACAGAAACTCTTTTAAATGTTAAACATAACAGCATTAAATACTAACACGTCTTTCCCTTCACTAAAACACATTAAATAACAGTTAATTTTAACATTTAATCTCCTTATCCAGTCCAATGCAAACTGAAATGTACTTTTAAATACAGACATTTCAGGTTAACTTTACACACAATATTAAGTTAATGTAATGATCAACATTATGTCAACAGAACTCATCAAAATAATGTTTGCAACTTACATTTTAATTAAATGCATGACCGGAAGATTAAATAAATTTAATTTATTAAGTTGCAGTAATAGATCCCCTAAATTACTTTTTAGAATGTATTTCATATTTCATAGACAACAAGACGTATAAAACATGCAGCACTAAAATTGCAATGACACACTAAAAACACAAACTAAAATAATTTGCCATCCAGATTAGTTAACAACCACTGCCCAGATTACCCAAACATAAGTATTTTTATTCAAATATATTTTAAATAAAATTAAGTAATTCTATTTAGAAAATATCTACAGTATATTGTAATATATTTTTATTTTTTTCTATTTTCTACAATTAATGCCACATATTCTGTCATTTAAATGTACAGACATTCAAATTAATTGTTTAAATACTATTTGGAGCTATTGTATATCTAACAAATGTTTTAATCTAAAAATATAAGTCTAAATATAGAGCTGGACATTTAGAGAACATGCAAATCAGTGACGGTTGTTAGCCTACATCTTAGTGTGTGAGTGTGTGTGTTTGTGTGTGAGGGCTATTTTAACAGCTGCTTTGACCCAGATCACAGCATCCAAACCAGAACACAAATATAGTTTGTGTCCACATCACATCAGCCTGAACTTTCAGCATCACATCACGGCTGATGCGTCTCTGTTTCTCTGTCTGCAGTGTGTGACATACAGTAGATCCAGGTGTGTCAGGATGCTGATACCCAATCTTTCCGGGTAAACGGAGAACACTGTTCCGTCGTGTCACTGAAGAACGCAGCGCGCACACACACACACACACACACATACACACACACACACGCACACACACACACGCTGAAGATCAAATACAGCATGGGAACCAACAGAGCCAACAGGTAAGAGTAGAATGTGTGGGAGCATTCACGTTTATGGGTCAAAATATGGCACAAAGTATGCATAGTTTACTCAATTTGAATTATTTCTAATATTACAAAATTCATTTGGATGAATCAGTATATGTGATGAAATTTGTGTCTCTTTTTTGAGAGCTTTGAACTATGTTCTGTTTAAAAAGTTTCCTTTTTCCAAGGCAATTTGTCTTGGACTCAAAAGCTGCAATGATACACAAGTAACACATACGAGTAAAGACAGAGACACATGACAAATATCAAATAATAAAGCATAAAGAGGTTTTACCCATCAGCAAGAGCCCTGTAAACATCTGATGGTGTTCATGTTCGTTTACTGAAGTCTTTGGTTCTTCCATTACCCTAAACACCACACACCTGAGGAGTAATGAAATAATTTTATTAAACATAGTTCACAGAAACAATATCATTGTCATCATTTACTCAAGTTGTTCAAACCTTATGACTTTCTTTCTAATTTGGAACACAGAAGATGATATTTTGAGAGTTTTTTGTCCATACAATAAAAGTCAATGGGTTCCAATGTTGTTTGTTTGTTTCCAAATGTTTAGAAAGAATACAGGTTTGGAATGCCATAAGGGAGAGTAAATGATGACAGAATTATCCTTTTGAGTTAAATATCCATTTGAGTCCTTAAATCTGTGGAATAAATGGTAAAATGCTGCCAAATGTAGAACTAGGGTTCAACTCAAAAGTTTGTGGACATTTTCTCAGCTGGTTAGTTTATCAGTCTGAACTCTCAGAGTCAAATAATGTGTGTTTAAAGGGATAGTTCACCCAAAAATGAAAATTTGATGTTTATCTGCTTACCCCCAGGGCATCCAAGATGTAGGTGACTTTGTTTCTTCAGTAGAACACAAACGAAGATTTTTTAACTCAAACCGTTGCAGTCTATCAGTCATGTAATGTAAGTGAATGGGAATCACGGCAAACATACATACGTAAAAAAAACATACACAAGCAAAACCAATTTAAACCCTGCGGCTCGTGACGATACATTGATGTGTAAAGACACGAAACGATCGGTATGTGCAAGAAACTGAACAGTATTTATTAGTGATGGGACGATTAATACCGATGCTCTGACGCAGTTTTCAAAGCACTATTGTATCACACACTGTGCCGATGCTTGTATCGAAATGACAACACCACGTCATTGATAACGTTTGAAGCTTCGAACGTCATGCAGTATAGGAAGGTCGGGACAGCTGGTTTGAAAAGATTTGGCGCTTCGCATGACTCTTGTGTTTGACTTTACATTGACTTGGTTGAGTTTCACACAAATGCCGGCACAGACATGCATGTTCGGTTAGAATCGCCCTAAACTCGTGCATCTTCGGATGCGGAGCTGCACGGAAAGTTACCAAAATGGTGTGCACACCGCCACGCAAAATGAGTTAGCGCGCACTCAAAGCGAACTTCCGCCAACACCGCGATGACGTCATATTTGCCGCGCGCACCCAAGCGAACTTGCGGACGCGTCGAATATAAATCAGCCTTCACGCGCCGGCTGAAGAAGAAGAGGCGAACACGCTCAGGACAGTTCAGACATTGCGGTAAATCAGAGGTAAAAAAACGATATAAATACTGTTCAGTTTCTTGCACAGACCGATCGTTTCGTGTCTTTACACATCAATGTATCGTCACGAGCCGCAGGGTTTAATTTGGTTTTGTTTGTGTATGTTTTTTTGACTCTCAAAGCCGTGATTCCCATTCACTTACATTATAAGACTGATAGACTGCAACGGTTTGAGTTAAAAATAGTTTGTGTTCTACTGAAGAAACAAAGTCACTTACATCTTGGATGCCCTGGGGGTAAGCAGATAAACATCAACTTTTAATTTTTGGGTGAACTATCCCTTTAATGCTGCTTCTCTAGAACAAGACCATCTTAGACCTATTAAAGAGGATGAGGAAGGACAACATCTTGCTATTTAAGGCAAGACTATGGGCTATTTTGCTTCCATATCATGTCTTCTTTTAGATTAGTGGAAAGAAAACATCCAAAATACACATTAAACTGTTTGTTTTATTGTACTTTATTGTAGATTTCAATCTCAATACATATCTTTAAAAGTTTGTTTCTCCACTTCAGCTGCACTTACATATACCAAACGTAACAGTTTTATTCCTGTCTATATTCTGAAGGTTTTGCTGATGGGTTTGTTCATATATCATTCCTTGTTTTTATTATTGCACTGTATATATTTGCTCATGTAGATTTCAGATTTCTTATAATGAGTTTTTATCTCTACTTCAGCAACACTTACACTAAACTTTATTTCTCTCTATATTCTGAAGGTTTTTACTGAGGGATTTGTTCATATATCATTCACACTGATTTATATAACACTTTATTCCAAAAAACATGGTAAAAATGCATTTCTTTATAGACTGAGTTTGTTTCTCTACTTCAGCAGCACTTACATACACCAAACTTTACAGTTTTATTCCTATCTATATTTTGAAGGCTTTTACTGAAGGGGTTGTTCATATATAATTCATACTGATTATATAACAATTGATTCCTAAAAACGTGGTGAAAATGTATTTTTTTCTGGCTGTTTACAGTATTATCTGATTTATGGAGTGATAAAAAGAAAAACCCAAAATTCCCTCTGTAAAAACCTTTAACTCTAACATGACAACAAAATCAAACAAGAATTTTGAACATGGTTTTATCCAGTTTTCAGATAAATATATGCAAATTTGTGCACCTTTGACTAGATAACGCCCCATTTGGATATTTAACCTGTAAAACATTTTACTTGCCTTAAATAATGACTTTTTTTAGGTTAAAAAAAGCTTAAAATAATAAACTTCATGCCAAAATTTTTACAATTTTGTTCAACAGCCAGATTTTTACACTTTTTTTCATTCAATAAACTAGACACAGTAACAGTAATTATTGAAAATACGGTTTCATATGAAGTTTCACTGGCTCAGACACATTTACTGTCACTCATGTGCTCCACCAAACATCAGCAGATGATTGAGAGCCAGTAACACTGGCAAACTGTTTATTTATTTGCTTATTAGTGTGTGTGTGTGTGTGTGTGTGTGTGAGAGAGAGAGAGAGATAGAGAGAGAAAGAGAGATAGGGCTCAGGTTATAATCCCTAAACCTTCACTGACCGCAATCCTGATATGGCTAAATGACTGGCCTTCCCTCATAATCCCAGATGAGGGGCAGGTAACGCACACCTGAGGCCCTCATACCTTCACACACAAAAATCTGAAGAGAGGGACAGGGAAGCTATGGAGAAACAGACAGTCCTGATCCCACTGACAGAACCTTCAGTAAAGGTTTGGGAGGTTCATCAGGAGGATCCGTCAGTGTGTTTCTGCAGAGAGACGCATTAGTGACTCATGGTTTATCTGGAGTGAGTGTGTGTCCTTTAGAGCGTTCACTGGAAAGAACAAATGCTCCAATCAGATTACAGCGCTTCACCTGTCCTCCTGCAGCTCCAAAAACTCACATTTCACACATTTAGTTATTTTTATAGTGCTTTATACAATACAGATAGTTTCAAAGCAGCTTCACAGAAATAAAAAGCAAATAACAGTGTAGCAAAATTAATCAACTAAGAAACAAATTCAAATTCTGCTTTAAAGCAGCTCTACAGAAAACATTAGTGTCATTATTCAGAGCAATTCATTTCAAAGCTCATTCAATTCAGTTCACGATTATTAGCTATCTATAACTATTCAAAACAATTTATCAAGTTAATTGATGTATACCTGAATACCTGAAATAGAATAAAATAAAATATACCTGAATTCAAAATAACTTTATTAGTTTAAAAAAAACCTAAAACTACAACTGAAATAAACTAAATAGTAATATTTAAAAATAAAAACAAAATCATGTGAAATTAATACAAATTGAACTAAAATTAAAACAAAAACCTGAAAATCTAGAAATAAAAGCTGATTCCAAATATAAATAAATATATATTAGTTATTTTATAAATAAAAATAAAACTGTAAAACAAATGCATTATTATAAATAGTAATATTAAAGAAAAGATACAAGTGCATGAAATTACTAAAAATCTAACTGAAATTAAAATGAAAACTGAAAATATATAAATAAAAGCTAATGCACAATATTAAAACAAACAGAAAAAAAAAGTAAAATAAAAAAAAAAAACTGAAAAAAGTGAATTCAAAAGATAAATAACTATAATTATTCAGCTCAATGTTCATTCAATTCTGGTTAAAAAAAATCTCTCTGAAGATCCGTTTTCTGACCACAAACTCTTCTGTTGTCCCTCTCAGGTACAGCATCGTGTCTCCTGATGAGGAGGGTCTGAAGATCTCCACCCTCGGCCTCCACAACGGCCACGGCTCAGGACGGCTTCACTCCCCCGGTGGAGAGGCAGGCCCAAGCGCGGCATCGACGGTGATGAGGCCCGGCTACAACAGGAAGATCTCCACGTCCGGCCGCGGCCAGCTGCGGAGCCGCTTCGTCAAGAAGAATGGTCAGTGCAACGTGGTCTTCGCCAACATGGACGACAAGCCGCGGCGGTACCTGGCGGACATCTTCACGACGTGCGTGGACATCCGCTGGCGGTACCTGCTGATGATCTTCTGCTCCACCTTCTTGTTCTCCTGGCTCGTGTTTGGCTTGATCTTCTACAGCGTGTCTTTAGCGCACGGGGACTTCGATAAAGATCACGAGAGCAGCAGAAAGCCGTGGAAACCTTGTTTGCTGCATGTCGAGAGTTTCGTCGGCGCGTTCCTGTTCTCAATCGAGACCCAAACTACGATTGGTTACGGCTGGCGCTGCGTGACCGAAGAGTGTGCCGTAGCGATCGTAACGGTGGTGGTGCAATCGATCGTTGGATGCATCATTGACTCTTTCATGATTGGCACCATCATGGCCAAAATGGCACGTCCGAAGAAGCGAAACCAAACCTTGCTGTTTTCGCATAATGCGGTGATTGCGTTGCGTGACGGGAAGCTGTGTTTAATGTGGCGCGTTGGGAACCTTCGGCGAAGCCACATCGTTGAAGCCCACGTTCGCGCTCAGCTCATCCGACCCTACGTGACGGCGGAGGGCGAGTTCATCCCGCTGGAAAATATGGATTTGAACGTGGGCTACGACGAAGGTACAGACCGCCTCTTCCTGGTGTCGCCACTAGTAATCGTACACGAAATCGACGAGGACTCGCCGCTTTGGGGAATGAGTCGGGCAGATCTCGAATCGGACGATTTCGAGATCGTAGTGATCCTGGAGGGAATGGTGGAGGCGACAGCAATGACCACGCAAGCCCGTAGTTCGTACCTTTCCCGCGAGATCCTATGGGGTCACCGCTTCGAGCCAGTCATCTTCGAGGACCGCGATCGCTACCA